AATATTTTCCATAAGTCACGAAGTGTGTCTTCTCCACAAATGGATTCGTTACAATTATACCAAGTGTCTAGTATGTGCAACAATTCTATTTCGTGGCTAATTCTTATATCATCTGATTGTAGGCATCTCTTTAATACTGAGATTGGAATATGCCCAATGTCACTTTGCTTTATTCTGCCAAAGTTGAGTAACAAAAATTGAAAAATTTTTTCGCTCAAGTTCGTAAAAAGATACGTATCAGCAAAGATAGATAAGTTTACAACATTTTTGGTATTAATACTCTCGGATAAAAATGAGTAACATTTGTCAACGACATCCATAATATTAAGCATGGATGCAGTTATTGCCAATATCTGAACATTTTTCTCAGTGATCTTCAAATCTACTCCATAAAAATAGTGAATAATGTCAGCGAAAACATCCTCGTTCAGTTCTTTTAACTCGATGATATTTTGCTGAGATTCTGCCATTTCATTTACGAACATTGCTTGAAAGTAAGAGCTAAACGATGCTAGCACGAAGCGATGGCAATGAAATTGAGCGTCATTGATCTTGATAATAACATCGGAAAAAATTTTATCTTGAAATAATTGAAAACTCGACTGGGGTAATCTTCCTTTGATAGTTAATTCCGGCATGATTGATGTAGAGCTCATGTAATAATTATGATTATTATTTACTACTTTTGTTCGTCAGCTATGCCTAACGTACCTGGACCTAGCGATAGAACGAGAGAAATCCTTCTACCCGATGGTGATGCACCTTATATGAAAGTCCAGAAAGAACAGCACGGAATAGTATAAGCTAATTAGTAAAATATTTATCTTGAGTGTATCTGCTAGTACATTAGTGATACTTCCATAGTAATTCTTAGCAATAATACAGTTCTTGACTGATTAATAACAACCTGTCTCAACTGTATTATTAATAGGAGTTGCTAAAGGCAAAGTTAATCGTTTTGACCGGACGGATAGAAGTCGTTCTATTAAAGGTTATATGGCATCGGCATTCGTTAGTGTAAGTGTACGAATATATGTATTGTCTTAATGCATTAATTATATCTTAAGATTGATAAATGGATCAAATAAGCCAAAGTGCCATATCGGACTAATCGTGAATTACTTATGCTACTTTCCACCTAAGTCAATTAAAATTCAACCATGACCGGTTATTATCCATAATAAATCTCAAGTACCAAAGATCAAGCTAAATACTGTTTAATAAAGTAATATTAGCAGCATGGATATATTCTTCTTGGAAATCAACTGCATTACAGTAAAAATCAGCGTTTAATAACAAAATAAATTTAATAACAAAATAAATTGACTACAATATTAGAGTAATTTATATTGTATTACGGTAGTTTTGTATATCTAAATCCGTTAATTAATTATCTTTCAATCATCGTCTGTAGAATGCTAGCATGATAACAACAGTTCGAAATATCAACCCATGCGAAAATATAGTCTCAAGAACAAATAAGCTTTACTAAACTGTAGCTAATTTAAGGTGTAATGTACCATAAAGTATCATTAATTATCAGTAATATTTCGTATATTTATTGTGGACATAATATTAAAATCGGTTAATAAGAAGTGTGTGTGTTTAAGGAAATATCTTGACCTTATTTCGGCACGTTTGGACCTAAGCGACCCAAGACTGCATAAAAAAATGCCATAACTATTTACATCGTTCGAATAAACTGATCTTCTAGTGCTTTTAATTATTTCGTAATGAACTGTAGAAAACAAATAATTACGCTAATAGAAGCTGTTCTAATTAATGTTGAAACCAACAATTCTTTTTGCGGGTGCTTGTAAATCAAAGTAGCTTACTTCTTTATTCATGATGCGTTCAATTGATTATTACGTAATGAGCTGTAGAAAATAATTAATTAGAAAAAAGGCAGAAATTACAACATTCGAAATACATGCACATTGTCATAAATTTCACTCCAGAAATCATTTACCCTTCCTCTTCTGTAATATTGTATTTAGATAGATTTTATCATTTTCTGAGGTTATGATTTTATTCTTTTACTCATGTATTTCATCCATGATCATTTCTCCATGGTTTTGATCTCAGTTCAATCAACAGGAATAAACAACGCCGAAATTTTATCAATGCAATTCGGTAATATTATTTAATGCAATGATAAATATCTTTTGAATATCAATGTAGTGTATAAGCGATTTATGATATCAACGTTTATCGATTGATTTTTACACTGACTACCATGGGTACTGCATACAGATTTATCTTGATTCTTAAAATATCAGTAATCTATTATCGTGCGAGAGTAATTGTCTCAAGGATGAATAGAACATCGTTTAAGAAGAACCTAATTTAAAGTTTAACGTAATAATATCTGCCTTTAAAATTAAATGAACTTAAAATAGGTACAATATACGCTACAGAGTTTATCATAAGTTTACTTTAAATTCATTGGTTTAATTTCGAAAACGACAACGACTAGAAAATGCTTTTCAGGTAATGAAGCAAAAGATATAGCTTCTTGCACGTACTGAGCACAAGGAGAAATATTAAAAAGTTTAGTCTTAGACTTATGTGCAGTTAGTTCCAGCACTGGCATAATAGACAAACGAATATTTTTCAGCAGATCTTCAACTGTGTCATCTGTGCAAGTGGATTCATTATAATTATACCAAATATCTAGTATATGCAACGATTCTATTTCGTGATTAATGTTTAAATCATCTGATTGTAGACATTTCTTTAGTACTGAAAATGGAATTCACTGCACTGAATACAAGAATGTTAAACGAGGTGTATAAATTGATGTTTGTAATCATAGCTCGATCAATAATGTCTAATGTCATTGTTTCAGGACTTGATCTTTGAAGTTGCAATTGATATAAACCGAAAATTAGCAAGTTTATTCATAATAATTATAATAAAATTTAACAAGACCTATGTAACATTACACGAGAGCGATCATGGTATTGCCTGATCATTGTAGTCATCTCTAAAATGGAACTTTTAGGCAGAAATAAATAATTCCTTTCTAATCGATATAATTGAAATACTACAGTAGTATGTGATTTTGAAATTACTTTGATGATAGTACGACTGTATCATGCTGTTCATTTATGTAGAGTAAAAAGCATCAACTAAACTGTCATTATAAAAAACTATTAAAACAGTATACAGTATTTCAGTCTACTGTACTGCTATTATGAGAAAGTGCTATAGAACGATGAGAAATTGTTCAGTATATGAACAGTAGGTATAGATATCGATAGCTCAATGATGCACAGTGGTCGACCTATACACATATAGTAGGATTAACTAAATACCGTAGTATGAAAGTGTAATAATTTAGCTTTATTTTGCTAAGATACACTAAGGTTGGTGACACTTTGAACCAAGATAGAGTTAGGTTCTAATTGTTGATTATATCTGTTTTAGGGTACCATTATGCCACTAATCGTCGACATTATACAGTCTCAATTAAGGCATAGTCATAAATATGTCAAATCGTTCTTATTATTAAAGTATTATGAAGTACATATCCCAATTGGCATCATCAGTATCGAAAGAAGATAAAATAATAAAGGTTCATATACATAAGGCTTTAAAATTATTATCCACAGACGCTACAGCTAAAACTAGTAAAGGATTATTTTAGCAATCTACAATAAGTAAACTATGGTCCAATATTTTGTACTCCTACATTGCTATCTTTATAACGCAATTTAAAACTTGTTAAAGAAAATATGCAGCTATGTCACAAAACAGCTTTGCAACAAGATAACGCAATATACGATCAATAAGTCAATTCCTTGAACCACGTATCAAGGAACGATATCTGCACTATCACAAACACTTTTGCTCTACTAGCAGACTACACAAAGACTTAAACGCCTCGTATTTTACGTTAAACACTAAGTTGGACAATTCTTCTTTATTTCACGATATACTGCATTTATATACTATTCCTCAATAGTTCATGAGTCATAGTTAATACAATTAACATTAGAATCATTTACTGAATTAGATATTAATTTTAGCTACTGCTCCCTTAATGCAGACAACAGAATTTATGAACATAGACATATAATGACTAATACAGAATAGTCAGATTACGATATGTCCTATCACGGAACATTTCCATGATAATTTACAGTCTACCATAAGTAAATTACAATCACAATGATTCGAACTGTAAGCAGATGATTTGCATTCCCTATTATAACTATTAATTTCAGTATGTGTATAAGTGTCACTGTCATAAAAAGTCAGTGCTATATTAAAATACAGTATATCCAAATTAGAAGTTAACTAAATAAGGATAGTCTAACAGAATTATCCTAACATAGTTATTTCTACTGTAATACAGTATTTAACACTGTAACAAGCTAATACTAAAGATTAGTGCCTAAATTTTGAATTGCAAATCTAGGTGGACCATTCTCGTATTTCATTACTATTATATGGATTGGTTTTAGAGATCGTAGATATGAAGATTAGCTTCATGCAAATATTACTCGTATCTTTACAAATATCTTTATTAAGTAAAATAAAATCGGTCTTGCATGGTAGAATATCTTTGGTGGATCTTAAGTAGAGACTCTGCTAATACATCAATTACAAGACACTAGCGCTCTAAGATAGAATATATATTTGTTATTAGAGTATGATTATTATTACTGAGCAAGGACCTGAAGTCACACCGTATGCAATCAAATACAAAGACTGGCAGAATATTATGTACAGTTATTAATAATAACAGTTTAAAGTTGTGAATGAATTACTAAGTTGTAGTTGACTCATGTTTAATAATGTAGTATGCCATCGTTTTCTTCAAGATATTATGAAACGACGGCGAATTTTTTAAAGCATTTCGGTTATATATCTTCGGATAGATATAACATGCGACGTATTTACGTCCGTTATAATATACCACTTCATTTTTGTTCAATGCTAAAGAAATTGGTATCGATTACGTAATATAGAATATGTATTATTTTTGCTTAAATAAGTAATAGAAGTTTAATTGCTTAAATCTATGATATATAGCTCTTAAAGTAAATTAGCATCAAGAAAATAAAAATATATTAATAATGTTGATAAAATACTACAATCAATAAACCTATAGAGGATGATTTTTACCATGATACGAGTTCTATTATGCAGTGATAAAATATAAATTATCTTAATGGAAAGCGCTAAGGATGCTAAGACTGTAATAACAAAGCTCAGTAGCATGATTGTAGAATAATGGAGCTGATTATGCTATGGTTAAAATAAATACAGCTTTTATATGTTCTATTTTAGTTTATCTTCTGACGTTACGTTATTTTTAATGCTTCTGCTAATGATCCTAAAAATGATTTCTCCTTGTATTAACCTTTAGAATATTCTTCCATATTCCTTCCTACGTTATAGCATCTTCCAGAGTTATTTTGCCACTTAATGCAATTTTGTGATCTCTCTTGTCCTATTTATAGCTATCTGCAGCTAATAGATAGAGTGATATTATCACGAAGACCTATAGCTTCCTCTATAGCGATAGCTAATCCAGTAACTGATATTTCAACATGGTGGTAACTGAAATGTCCTAACATCATCATTAGTGGAGCGTATGCAACCGCCCGAAACCCAACAATCGAACAAATTGCCGGTAAATGTTAAGTCAAATCGAACCTTCTCCCATGTATCTTCATCAGCGTTGTAGCGCTCACAGCAATTACCACGCTCATTATATCCGTACAAATAGATATACCCCTTGAAGATAATTAATCGATTTGTCTGATAATATTCGTTTGTATTAGCAACTGATGTCCACTCGTCATTTCTTGGATCATACCTCTCAGCGGTTTTTAGCTTAATACCAGATTGATCTTTACCTCTAAAATTACCCAAGGCAATCATTTCGCAATGGCATCTTGATGTTATCATGGGTGCTGCAGATAACCACTGATTGGATTTGCAATACCAATATGCAACCTGATTTGTAGCTGCCTTGCCTCCGTTTTCGGTGCTAATTTCGCCACCGGCAATGTACAATCTGTCATCATATTGGCAAATACTTAACGCTGCAATTGGCTGTGGAAGATCAGGTATATTTGATTTGCTCCAACATTTCTTATAGCAATCGAAACAAATTGTACTGGACAAGGCTTCCCGGGTAAAACCTAATGAAGATAAAGGGTAAGGTATATGATCAGAAAGATACCAGTGACATGGTAAGGCAAAGACTATGCCAATAGTTATGAATTTTTGCTAATGTAATCCCAACTTATAAATTGGATATCTTAGTTAAAATTGTTTTTTAAGCTAATGTGATCCCTATTAGTAAATTGGATTTCTTTGTCAAAATTACATTTTAAGCTAGTGAATTTGAAATCTTACTTGATCCATAACCTCCGACCGCATAGATCTTATGGCCTATCGCGATAGCTGCATAACTACTACGACGGGAAGCTTGAATTGCACCTCCAGCATCATGATTATAATAACTATCTAACTTAACCGAGATGGCTCTTGTTCCTCCACCACCAATGGCAGCACAAATATTGCTATCCGCACATTGGCGTACTTTGGTTCGTGATGAGAAAAATCGCTCGGGTAAATAATGGAAATTTTTCGCTTCCAGAAGCATTTGAAAACAGGGTAGGCTTTCTTTTAACAATGTTTCTTTCTCTTCGAAATCAATTAATTGCTCGACTGGGATCATTGCTAGGCGTACATGGCTAAGCAAACCAACCAGATGATCTTTCCTAATGGATGGATCCAGTTCGACCCATTTCTTCAATGTATTCAGCACTGTCAGTTCATTTTTAACAGCTAATCGTTCTGAAGGTAAAATTTTATTAAGCAAAGGGTAAGGTATCTCATAAAAGGTATCATAGCCGGTGCATTTCTCAAAATAGTCCAAAATGTAATTATTTGCAATTTGGGTTAATGGATGAAAGTTATATAGCTCAGCAAAGATTAATATTTGCACGCAATTGGTGTAGCTTAAACTATCGGCCAGGAATGTACAGCAGTAATCGACGATTTCGGATACGTTGAACATAGATGATGTGATGGCGATATTTTGTACGTTTTCACTGGTAATTTTTAGACTTCCACCGTAGAAATAATCGATAATGCTAGTCATGGTTTTACCATCAACATGTCTTAGCTCAATCTTGCGTTGTTGTGATTCTGCCATGCCATTTGTAAACATAGCACGAAAGTAATCGCTAAAAGCAGCCAGGATGAATCGATGGCAATGCAATACGGTATCATTAGTGTGGATTGTAACATCAGAGAAGGTGCCTTCTGCGTATAATTCCAAAAAGGCTGAAGGAATTTTAGCTTGAATGATTACTTCACCGTCTTCCATGGCGTCAGAATTGGTTCCAATTTGGATGAGAGTAATCGATTCTCGATGTACAGTATATCGACGACTTCCAGACTATATCTATTTGCAAACAAAATTGAATGCATAATTATTGATTTTATTAGATGGAAAGCGAAATGATGAGATAATACTAGGGGTAATTAGTTTAATAAATGATCGAGAAGCAAAATCATTCCGGTAAACGAGCTCGTATTATATTGGTACCTTGCTCGCATAAATATCTCTACTTACAGTCTTTCTCGCATGTCTATATTAGCTATTCTGTTCAATAATGTATCCTATCGTTGTCAACCCAGCTTTTAAGGTAAAATTAAAGTTATCTATCTTATATTGAACTTATCCTCTTCAATATTTACAGCACCCCGAGTTACCTGAAAGCCATAATCACAGGATTACAGTACACAATGAAATCTAAACCCAGCAAATACTAAGTTACCAGCATGTTTTCCATCGAAAGCAGGGAACTTTCGTATAAAATGTCACTTGTGACAGTTATTTAATATCTTTATCATTTACAATCATTTATTTTAAGTATTAGGTTTATACCATACTATACTACTTTCTATAAGCGTACTCTTCAATTCTAATTCATTTTAACAAGTGCAAATACAGTAATAGTATTTTATTTTGTATTTTAATTGCTGCTATTAGTATTATGTGCCCAAATTGTCTTTACGATATTATGTAATGCTTATACTCGTATCAAGATATCCGGCTGTCTGGCAGAATAAATCAAAGTTAAGAGACTTGCGAAAATTATTTAATAATAGTGTGTTTTGTAGATACTATTTATGTTGATAACTAAGATTACGCCCAAATTTAATATCTTGTATTTTCGTAACGTAGACGAAAATAGCAGAAAAGATTAATCTAATACCTACTAACCACAATTATTTACTGACAAATTGCGTTATCAAAGGGTCGAGCGTATGACTCATTTAAATCTAGCACTCTAGACTTGTTTCTAAGGAGACATACCACCACATCGTTAAACCTATGGCGTAATATAGCTAGCGATTTATAGAAGAGAGGATATAACGGACCATTACAGTTATTGAAAATATGAGCGGTATCTGAAAGCTATTTCATGATATAAGAATATGAAGTTTTAAGGTTTGTAATACATAAATCAATCATAGAAGCGTTCAGATTACAAAAGCGATTGATAAATGTCTATTTTCTGCGTAGCATTGTAGAATCAGGCTGTGTTGAAGATGCTGTAACTAAAATTTAGTTTACCCAGCTTGGTAAATTTTGTACGATTAATAGCTTGTGATAAGTATCTCTGTCGCTATATCGAATATTTTGCTTTAGATAGACCAGATAATGAAGTGATTTTATACTTGTCTACGGTTTGATAGCGTAAACCCTTAATGAAACCTTAAATGCAGCACAAACTGTTTAATCGTAGCTGACTGCTTTAAGTCATGTGAATGTTACAATGTGACATTACAATTAAATAAAGAATTTAAAGTATTTTTTCTGGTTTAAACCGTCTGTTTGACTCTTAAGATATTAGTAATACTAGGGCAAAAAAATATTAGAATTAGCAACGATAAATTGTCCATAATAAAGCAAAAGGGCCTTTTTAAAAGATATCGTTCATATAAACTTTAAATCGTAGCCTGTTGGTAATTACATTCAAGGTGTGGATTAATAGCAACATTAAACCTAAGTTTTAAGAATGTTACGATGCCAGCAATTTGATTACGTTCTAAGAATAAAGCTAGGGAGCAAGTCTAAATTAAATTTATAATACACTAGACTATCTTGATGATCATGGGACGGCAACAAAATGTATATTATCCCCAAGGATATATATAACATAAGGTATAATTATTCTAAGATTTTGTTCGTCGTCGCTATTGTAATCAGACTACAAAATTCTTACTTTGTTGTGTCCCAACGTAATATTAAATTTATTCGACAACAGATATTTGTAAATCTAACCTCTTACTTGCATCTAATTACATTTTACTTTAATATTTAATTTAATAGATGTCACAACGTTATAAATTAATTAGTAAAAGTTTGCTATCGTTATGATTATAATAATTTAGAAGGATAAGAACAGATATACTATTAGACATACCTTGGACGAAACGGAGATAAAATTGTAAGCTATGATGATATTTGAGATCGACGAATTTGAATACTGAGTTGTTGACTATTTAATAATTACGATTTATACTCTATCCTAGCTACGAATGATGTAAAAAATAAAAATTAATCTCTAATGATTAAACAACAAGAAAAGCTTACTGATTATGATTCGTAATCTAATGTAACAATAAAATCAATACAATAGTTACTGCAGCATTTATTGGCTACTATTTCTGAATGAAGGAATTGTTTCCATCAATTTTAATTGATCGTTATTATTCTCTTTTTCTTATTCATTGTTTTCATCATTTATTAATTAGATTGCTTTGAAAGCAATTCTGATTTTGCTTTATTTTATCATCATTATTTTACAATACTATATAATATATAATGTTTCTATCAATAGTGAGCGTAGATAGATTGCAAGTTTTACCAATCCAATTTAGCACTGCCCTGTCTGTCTTTGATAGCAGTATAATATAGCAGTGTTAGACTAGTTTCACTCATAAATATGATTTTTATCTTTTATGATGATATCTAATATCGATAATTTAGATGTTACATACTTATAATTTTAGGTGTATTTTTATTTTAACTTTATGTAATTATTATGATTTTATTCATATCTTTCTATTTATAAGATTGATCATGCTTGTATCAAATTAAAGTAGTAAAGTGGATAGAATAGAAAGACCTGCATCATTAATCGTCAATAAGAACTTTCTAAACAAGAATTGAAAGAGTGGAATGTCTACGTGGAACAGGCAGTTAAAAATGAAGCCACTTTATTGATAAACATATTTGTCGTTATTCTACTTAAGTATGTGATTTCACAGGCTATAACAGTAATAACAAGATTTTGTCTCTAAGGCACTTATTGAATCATGAATGTCTAAAAACAAGTTATCACCTTCATCTGAACAAAGAATTTGAAATATCGAACGTGACTTATTGTAGTGAATGATCGATTACTAAATAGTATTTGACTGTAATTAATCATTTTTTTTATGTACGAGTATATTTTTTCTCTAGTATTCTGTCAAATTTACAATAACATGACTACAAGTACATTCAGATATTAAAAAGGAAATAAGTGTGTATTAAGAGGATCAATGAAATATGATTAAGTGATCGAAATATAACATAAAATTCCCTTAAAATTTTGCGATTCCATGAAATTCTTTCATCAGAAGTTGGTTTATTTATATTCAATTTGTGAAGACTGAAATTAGTGCAACATTACTGCTATTCCACAAAGAATTTACTAACAGTTATAAAGTTGATCATACTGAGACTATTTCATTTCAATTAATGCTGAATACAGTTAAAATCATATATACCAGTAGTACATGCTATTATTCCATAAAAATTTAATATCGAATATTATTTATTAATTCGAATAATATTGTTATCAAATCACGCTATGAGTTATAGTGAAATAGTCCTAACTATGTAATATATGCAAACATATTTAATATATTTAATGTACAGCGGGGTATGCGGATTCGGCAGGTTAATACTTAAAAATGTCGCCGCAAGACAATAACCGTGATAGACTTGAAGTATTTCATAACTAAAGTGGTATCGTACATAAAATGAAATGAATTTTAATGAGATATCCGAAAATTAAATCTTAAGTCTGTACCAATATAAAACGCCAGCAGAAGTTTCTTTCAATGACAGATGCTATGTGCAAGTTGCTAGTAAGACAGCGACACAACCCTGTACTCACCTTTAGCTGTAGCGAATCCATTTAACCAGTTAATTCCTACTTATCTATTATAAATGAATAGCCTAAACCGTTTCCTGTATTGCAACATATACAAATCTATCTAAGACGGTATCATTTTTATTAAAGTATTATTTATTTCGCAAGCATAAGTTCACATATCATCAAAGCCTACTTACACACTAAAATGCCATATCGTACATAACAAACTGGATTGCTATAAAATCACCAAAGAATTTGCAACTTCTCTTTACAAAGTTATTACAACTAATATAGTTGCAGTAACAAAGACTATGAGCAGCGCTAAAACAAAGTGTCAGTACGAATTATAGAGGTTACTACAAATTTTACTTTTATGGATATGATCAGCCAATAATTTAATTTATACTTTTACGATTATAATTTCAGATTTCAGACGGCAGTCTTGACATTTTAATCTCTAAATAGTAATTATTATTACAATCTTATGGCTTGTTTATACTATAATAAAACGATCTAATTACGAACTATTGCAACTTCAGAGTTATTAAGAGTTTCCTCGTGCAAACGATGTAGTTTATTAGATACAATCAAGATTCCTTGGCTAAATAATAATAGTAGAATCAACTTTAATGTGCCAACGGCCACTTAAGTATACAAGATAACAGTAAAATGTGGACATAATATTTATTTTGAATGTGTATTTTAATAAATGCTGTTGACTTTAAAAATTTATTTGTCTTACGCATATTTTAAGTTATTCGAGATACTCAAAAGTTTTCTGGAAAAAAATACTTGTTGCAGTGGAGATAATAAGGTGTTACCCCAAATATCAATTCATATCAGATATACGAATATTTTCAAGATTAGCACAGTTGGTAGCATAACTCAACCGCAATGTGCTATAATAAACCATCATAGGTTGATAATAAAGTAACGCACAATTGGTGAAAGCAGAGTGTCTGAAATCCCTTAGTATTGATTCATATCAAAAGCTGTGTAAAGTTCGTAATGATTCTAGTATATGCATAAGATATACTTTGTTCACGATCTATAAGAAAGTAAATTTATATACAGTACTGGTATGATTTCAATGTTTAAAATCTCAGGAAATTAGAGGACTAGCAGTAATATCACAATTCACTTTGGATTAGTACAAAGTCTTTAATTATAATCAGAGCAATCGCTCACAATCCAAACGGCAATCAACATTATCACGTCCCAATTATAGTTTGCATTTATTCCATTACATCTTCGCTAACATCGTCATTATGTTCCCCTGAGATATTTTCACTACAGGCTGATGTATTCATCGAGCTATTAATAGGCAGTGAGGATGAATTTTGGATTGTATCTTCCAATATAGTGCCTATATGAAATGAATGAAGACTAGAAATTTAGGTTCAAATTAAAATTATAGGTAATGTACAATAATTATTTAGCCCATCTTTGACTGTCCATTAAGTTAAAATGGTAGCACTTACATTGAGTGGTATTCATCGATTCGTTAGCAAAATCTGACGCATTTTCGGTGGATTCTTTCACTTCCAAATTTTTCGATTTTGCATTTAATAAAGCATCTTGTAATTCTTTCAATTGATAGTCTTGATCAGCAGTTAACTCACTAGTGCCACCATTTTTTATTTGTGCTTGCCTCTTTTGATGTATACTTTCGCTGATGGCTTCTAAATTTCGAAGAACTTTAGTGTATGAAAGCTTCAATCCATGCAATGCATCTTGAATTTCATTACATGATCGCTTCTTGTGCTTCATAGAGAGAAGTGTTAACAATAATTCATATCAGCGAAGAAATTGTAATATGTACGTATTAAAGCATTATGAGCTATGTTGCATCATCGATGATATATGCTATTAGAATACATCTAAATAGCTATGAATTCGTAACAAGGTAAACTTTACCGAATTGAAATTTTTCTAATATTTAGAATTGTAAGATAATAACGTTATAAAATTGACTTGTCTAGTAGATTTATAAGTAATAAAATAGATGTAAACCTTTAATTCGGCATCCATTCTGTACTTTTCTTCATAGTATAACCTATATGTGTTAAGTTTATAATTGGCTTTCAACAATTTTACTTAATTTTTCTAATATTATGATTCAGTTAAATTACCGTGATTTTGTTAAAGGTTTGTACAATTCGTAAAATAATTGCTCTAGAGTCTCCTCTGCATCTCGCTGTGCCTCTAATAGTAAATTATATCGATCTTCGCAGTCTTTTACTTCCGTATTAGTAACCATAACCTAGAATGTAAATTATTTAAATTATTCATGCTATTAAATAGTAGTATATGAACTTTTAGCGATGTATGTAGAAATAACCTTGTTATTAGCATGGTTGACCATATCTTGCCAGGCTCCATCAAAGCTAGACTCTGACCTATTAAGTAAGTTTTCTTCAGCTACTGCAATCATCTCGCGAGCTGCTTCATGTACGGTTGATGCCGTTTCATAGGCTAGTGATGCTTTTTCGAATTCATGCTGTAGCTGAGAACGAAATAATTATTTTGATGAGGTATTGAATCACTTTTTTATCTAATTAAAATGATTAAATTTTTTGGCAAATACCGCATTTGCTCTTTCTGCTGTTTCATAATAGGGCCTTGATTTTGCAATGCAGCTACCTAATTCTTGTGCTAGTTCAGTTAACTTCTTCGTACCTTCTTTAAGGGATTTTTCGAAATCACTTCTTGCATTCTATTGCAATAAACAAATTGTCTTCGTAACGTAAATGGCATTTGATATATTTAATGATCAAAAAGATGTAAACATTAGTCTCACATCCAATATTTTCTCATGTCGATTTATCTCCGAAGCTAAAGCATTCAGCTTTTCTAGTTCTTGCTAAAGAATCGAGTAATGAATTAAAAATTATATTGATGTTATAACACTTGAAAATGAGACTTTTCTGCTTATATTGTACTCCATTTTACCGTTATATAATAAATAAAAAATACAATATTTTATCCGAGATAGCTGAAGTAGAATTCCTGACGATAAAAGCGCCGGTAGCTATCCTACGTTTACAAATTACGCTATAGATGGTATGAATCAATGTATACATATGGTATCTTGCATAAATAGAACAGATGTACACGATAGCGTTTTGAAGATTGTACAATAAAATGCTCCATAATAGGATACTGAAACCAGGAAAAGAATACAAGAACTCTCCAGGATCACATTCACTAGCATACATTTGCAAATATCAGTTTATGTAGTAAAGATAACATCTTAGCAGTATTTAATAATAATAGTTTAATTTCCTTCTTCCAGGGCGATATTGGATGCCTATACTCCGATATGACAGTGATTATGATCACTAGTGTCTTCGATCTTATATTTATCCGGCCGTTAACAAGACAAAATAGGAGTATATGAATAATAGGATGATTTAAAAAAGCTAATTTTTATTTAGCCAAAATAGGTTGCTAAACAAAATATCATTCCGTAGAAATCTCAATTGCCTCGCTAGGCTTGGAGACTTTTAGTACTACCTGACGCAATCTAGAATGAGTGCGATACATCCTACTTTAAAATCATCCTTTTAAGTACTGTTTTAGGTTTAAAACTTTTTAGTTCTTTAACAATTATCTCGATTATTATTGCCTCGTTGAACTTGCGGACTTTTAGTAATACCTAACGTAGTCTAGAATGAATGAGATCCATCCCATTTTAAGACATTCTTATAAAGTATAGTAATAGGTTTTAAAAATATTTAGTTCTTTAACAATTATCTTAATCTTTATCAGATAATACGTATATTAGTGTATACTTATACTTATAGATAAAACAAAGATATTTGAAATTAGTTTTTCAGACTGGTTTACAGCTACTTAGATGAGTTCCAATGTACTCAGATAGTAGTTACCGTAATTCTAGGATCTAATTCTTCATTAAGCTCTTCATCCAAATCCATCATTCATGAAGGCCATGGAAGAATAATGACCAATTTGTATAGTGAGAAAAACTTTATCTGAACATATGGGCCGAAAAAATGTAAATTTTATGATTCATCATTTTAATAAAATTATTATGATGAAAATACCCCTAACTATCCTATAGAGTAGACTGAATAAAGAATACAGTATACAATACCGTCGAAATAGAGTATGTAAATAAATGAATTGGCCATTATAATGGATACTATAGGAGATTTTCGATGGGCTGAAGGATTGGAATGCGCAGGTACTCATTCGATCAGAGAAAGATACTGCCTTAAGCCTAGGGCACAGAGTAATGCTCATCACCATGAGACAATATGGTGGCAAACTATTGACTGAGATATAAACTATTTACGAGTGTTTGGTAGTACTGCTACATTAGTCATATATAAGCGTGAGATTGCACGATTTCTTAATTTTTTTCAAGATATGTCAATATATGTCTAATGCATCAGTAGGACAGCTTAACCGAAGTGTATAAAATAAATAATTTATGCAAAATAGTTAGGGCTAATGTACATTAGAGACCCTCTATGAAGCGGATGTTAGAATCCCGGTTATCCCTCTTTTCCTATTCTGAATAAATATACTCTTCTTTCTTTATAATTTGCGTGCTACACTATCGATGGACTCACAACTACCACCTCCATCCATGAAGGTACCTACTGAAGTGAATGCCGATATGTCAGAGCTAATAACCTCGACGGCGACAACATCACAGTACACTGTACACTGTATAGAATTTTTTTTTCAGATCAGTGTATATTTTTATGGTTTATTTTATTATAAAACCCGTAAAAGTTGATATGGGTTTGATCAAGTTTTGATCATATTATTTGTTTTTTTTTTAAACTGGATTGAATATCTACACCCTGTATATATATTATTTGTAGTTAAACTATTGATTATATTGATTATTTGTATATGGCATATACATTTTTTAATTATAATTAACACTTACCAGGGCAATCATCACTGCGCATGCACAAACACTATGACAGCATATCTACTACAGTACTTGACTATGAAGTATCGATGTTTTCTTGGAGTAACCTTTTAATGTCAAGACTTTGGCAGTTCTAACATCGAAGAGGACTTTCAAATGGAGAGTTACACATATAATAGCAAATCTTTGGTTGTAATCCTTTTCAGTTTTGATTCTATAGCAGCCCAAGTCTTCCCATGCCGTCCTGAGGTTTGCATGAATTGCTACACAATTGTGCTGTTGTGGCAACTGCGCATGATCGTTAACCTCAGCTCGACATGTAACAACATGTACCCATGCTGAGACTACAGTGTACAGTACATTGCAGCGTGCACGAGGGACTGTAAGAGTACAATAGTACTGTATCAATGTGCAATAGTCGACCATCAGAATATTTCAGCTATACACGACTGAATATAGGATAAATTGCGCTGTCTAGTACATCATACAGCAATTCGCTACAGTACATTGGCTACTGGATGACGCTAATGCTGTATCCAAGGCATCCTAGCAATGAACTGCACGTCATTTGATTAGCCCCGGCAAAATCAATATTAAAATAGCGCTGCAAAACTTTAAATCGTAGCAAAGTAGACGACTAACGCTTTGGAACTGCATGCAATAGCATTGATTGTATCTGAATTGCACTGGCCAGTGGAAATCGTGGAAAGGAACGCTACTTCTAGAGTCATTATTGGCTAAGAGCTGATTTTAACGTCGCATACTTTTAGAGATCCAGGTCTTGCAGTTCATTCATTTACTGACAACGGATGGTGAAAATAAATTAAGTTGAACTGGCGATCGTTGTGAAAGAAGAATATAATTGGATGAATGCTTCATTTTAGGTGAATTAAATATTGTCAAATCCTATTGATATAAAGATAGACGACTCTAGGCTCGGTAGAATTGTTGAGCGAAATGAAACGAAAAAATTCAACCGTACGTAAAATTTTACCTGAGCAACAACAGCAATTATCTTGGAACATGGCCAGCCTTGCCAATGGTGTTGCTGATGATGATGACATGGATGATCTACCGCATAATTCGGATAGTTCAGCCACAACGGCAAAGAAACAAAAGGTGGTATCGGATGATAATTCTAACGATGAGATCGATCAATTCTCTATCCATTTGCATGTAAATATTTCTAAGGTAGAGACTGTTGCACGTACTTTCGAAATTGGCCAGTTTAAAGCTCAGATTACATTAGATAGTACTTTCGACCTCCAAGCTATTGACGCTATGATCTTATCATTTGGCCAATGCAATGATAATGGCTTGGCAACTATCCAACTCAATGATAATTATGAAAGAAAGCTACTATGTTCTATCCATCTACCTACACATGTACTCAATGCTATGGATATCCTAGTCAATAAATACCGAAATAAAAATGGCAATGCTGCTTCGTTATACTTGCACGCCATGGAAACAGACAAACAATTTGTTAACCTTACTCTATCCCTATTTCTGGAAAGTCCAGCGTTCGCTAGACTCCCAGGGCCAAGTGCATCCATTGCCAATACTGGTGCTAGTCATCTTATACAAAATGTACCCGTTATCATACGACATTTCTTGGGCGGTCAGTTGAATAGTGAAGACTTTGAAGGTAACAGTAACTCATACTGAACATATTGATTACGTACAAATAACTATAACTGTGGATATACTGGTTGATTTCCTTTTAACATTACGTCCTGCTGGTTACTGTATACGTATAAAATAAATGGAATATCTATCCAACAACATTTTATGGCAACTAGTAGAGTATTATGCACATGATACTTCGCGTGAATGTGTTGTAATGACAGTGAATTTTAAATTTCTAGAGAGGGATAAATGCCGTAATAAGCAATGCTTTAAGGATTGATACGACTAGATTAGCTTGGGTAAAAATGAAATTGACTTATTTTATTATCAATAGTTTCCCGAATACCAGGTACAGCTGCAGATGCAGATGAAATCTACCGTAAAATTAAATCATCTCCATATGCTATGAAATCGGATATCGATGATCGAACCCATTTGCAGCATCAAAATTTACTGCCAACTTTGAGACCGTATCAGGCTAGAGCTGTTCAGTGGATGTTAAATAGAGAAAGATCATCAACATCGGCACAAGATCGATCGATAATCCACTCATTGTGGAGGGAATTAAAATCAATTGATGGAAAACAATTTTATTTTAATCCGTATTCTTCTCGGTAAAGCTCTAATTACTGTTGATAGGACTGCTTATACCCTTTTGCAGTTTTACATATTATCAAGTTATCTATTATAACCAGACTTAATAATATTATTAACCTTTCATCAATTTCTTAAGAATAACTATATCCAGATTTAATATTGCCCCTTTACCACCTGGTGGGATTTTAGCTGATGAAATGGGCCTAGGAAAAACGGTAGAAGTTTTGGCTTGCGTACTATTGAATGAAAGACCAACTAATATACTAGAGAACTCGACATCGACAGATGTTAGTGGTAATAATTTAGCTGCAAAGAGTTGCGATGATGTATGTGAGCGATCAGATGTAGCCTATCAGTATGACTGCAGTGACTCGAAAGATGCGGATAAAGTTGATGAAGGAAAAAATACTTCTACGCTACGTAAACGAATACACAGTCAACTGAAAGATAGTATAACTAGACCAAGTAATGGTAATTCATGCAAACTTACTTGTATTTGTGGTGGCTTAAATGAAGATGAAGACAGTGAGCAGCCGAAAACCGCGCAATGTCAAATTTGTTCGATATGGCAACATCCAAAGTGTGTTAGACCCGACTTTGATTATTGTTCAGAATATATTTGCCCGCATTGTATTGTTAGAAAGGTACAATAATGCCACATTTCTGCCATAATTAAATATAATTTAATCTAGCGGCAATCCATTTATCAGGCGCTAGCTCAATTCTTGCTCAAGTGAAAATTTTATTTAAAAATTTGTTAATAATATTATTAGCCTACTATCGCATCCGGAGCTACGTTGATAATATCTCCATCATCGATTGCTTACCAATGGAAAGAAGAAATAATGAGACATATCGATAAAGCTGGCTTTAAAGCAATGGTAAATATGGGTATATATCCTCATTCAATCGTATAGTTTACTGATATTGAAGATAATTAGTTACAAGTACTAAACCGAAATGAATTATTTTCTTCTTACAGATATATAAAGGTGTTGCCAAGGAAGGATTTATTAATCCTTCTGTTTTAGCAAACTATGATATTATCATAACTACATATGAAACTCTCCAGCAAGATATCTATCATATTGCCGACAACCACGGTTATTATTGCATACATTACACAAAGCTTAATTATCTCCCGTAGGTAATGAAATTATGTCATATACTAACCCTTATATTTATTAATAGGCAATGTTCAAAAACAACTGCGTTTCACTAGGCGATATTTAGCCTTGCCTAGCCCTCTACCATGCATAAATTGGTGGCGGATATGTTTGGACGAAGCCCAAATGGTAGAAAATGTAACCGCAAGGGTGAGTCCTTATGCATTCGAATAGGATTTTTCAAGCGTCTTGCATTTTTTTGAGTGTTTCTTTAAAAAATTGAAATTTTATTGTTTAATAGGCTGCAGAAATGGTTCTTAAATTGCAGTGTATCCATCGCTGGTGTGTGACGGGCACACCGGTTCAGAGGGGAATTGAAGGTAACCATATGCAATCTTATTTGATACACAGTATAATTAAATGAAATTATTATTAGGATTTTAAAGTATTATACGAAATCCGTATCAAGATGAATGCCAAACTGATGTGTTAATATTTAAAAAATTATTCATTTTTATAGATTTGTATGGCCTTGCACTTTTTCTTGGGTTGGATCCAATTCACGAAAGGGTATGGTGGCGAAAGGTTATATATGAAAATTATATTTATGGAAACTTGCAGCCATTAGTTGATGCATTTGCTTCAATTTTTTGGAGATCTGTAAAATCTGAAATCGTAGACGAGGTTAACGATTTTTGAATTGATATTTCAGTAAAAGATTAAAATTCTACATCTAGTAGTAATACCGAATGTTTCATAGATCCAGCTCCCGGAACAGTCCAGTTCAATGAATTGGCTGAAGTTATCACCAATTGAATCGCATTTTTACCAGAGACAACACGAAGAATGTTCGACCGATGCCCTTAAGGTAGGTGTTTCTCTGAGTAGTGAATTTCGCACTGTACGAAGTACATTTTAAGCTTTCGTACGTCATAAATGTTTTCATATATTTTATGTTATTGGAAAACCTCAAATTTCTTCAACTCTGGATATTAGGTTATGAATCGAATTGAACAAAAGTCTGAAATATCAATTAGTAGCCTGGATAAAGTTACATTTCAAAAAGTATATTCGATATAAATTTAGAATAAGAAAGAAATGGCGTTGTTAAATCAAATTTTGTACTGCATCACCTAATTTCCCTTTCAAAAATTAGATGCTGAACCCTCTGCTACGACTACGCCAAGCTTGTTGCCACCCACAAGCTGTTACTAGTAGTGGGATATCTCTAAATCGAGGGTAAAGTGTTAGCATTTGTTTGTTCATTTACAATTGCATAGTGTTAAGATCAATTCACTTTCAACAGACGTTTAACGATGGATCAGATTCTGGAAAGTATGATTAAAAAGTCAAAGACTGAATGCGAAGAAGCCCAAAGACAAATCATTTTCGCGCTTAATGGTATTACAAATATTCTTAAAAATACCGATTCTGTCGTTTGTTACGGCTTCGTCTGTAATGCTATTTATATTCATGTTTTAGGTCTGGCAGGTGTTCATGTTATGAAGGAAGAAGTCAGTGCATTTTCGGAGTTTTGTTTTCTTCTTTCAGTTTTTTAAGTATATTATGCTAACATACTTTAAGTACCCTATGTTTTATATTATGATAGTTAGTAGAGGCAGTGGATCGGTATAGGGAAGCCATTGCTGCATGGGAAGAATATAAAGATAGGCTCCATACAGACAGCATACAGGTATTCTCATTTGTTCATATATAAAAAGTTTTGAAAGCTGTAAAATCTTTCGTACTACCATCCTTGTTATGGAAACGTTAAGATCTACTTTAATGATTACATTTTAGAAAATTCACACTCTGCATAATCTGAATGATATCTTGAAGAATCATCCTGAGATAGCACAAGATTGTGGTAGGACGATACGAGAGAGCCGTCTAGACCATGAGGTACGCTATACTGATAGGTCATGCTATTTATTATTCTAATATATAAGCATAATTCTGCTATGTGAAATATAATTCTTTAAATTGCCTTCTTGCCTTTCTTGGACTGACATGTAACGGAAAATTACAAAGGTGGAACAACTAAAGCTTTCATATTTAATTAAATTTAAAACTGCTACTGTTAACTCTCGTGAAATTCTTCAACAAAGTAAACAAGCAATATCGGAATTAAAGGTAAAAATTTTATACTGTTGTTATCAAAGGAAAATTTGATCCAAATATGATTTATTTTAACGATATAGTCTCAGCTGGATGAAATTTGGTACCTTCAACTACTGGAAAAATTTGAAGTACTTGGTCTTGAAAATCAATTAATAACCAGACTACAGCAACGTTTATCGACTCAATTAACGCAAATGTATCTTAATTCTACTGAAATGGCTGGAAGGTTGTCAATCTGTACGCTTTTATAATTAGTAATAAGACGAACTTTAATGAATAAATATCATCTTACTATCTAAATTTTAGCTTTACAAATATTACTGGGCTGAAATATGTTGCGACTATGCAACTGGATGCAATAACAGAATCTCGTGAAGCACTATTAAAATTGATATATTCCATTGATCAAGAGAATTTTCAACTTTTGGTATCTTCGGCGGCAGATTGTCACTTAAGACCCTCGAAACTTCAAAGGCGTAAAAAGTACTTAGAGGATCTATTATATACCTATCAATTTAAAGTTACTATAGGTTTTAATGGAGTGTTTTGAATTTTACTATAGGTGTAAGATATGTGAAGCCAATCGCTATTTTGAAGAATATGAATCTCACCTATTTTTATTACAAAGGCGTAGTAAAGAGAAGTACGGCTCCAATAAGTTATTGTAGCTTTTCACTTTCTATGTATAAAATGATTTAATAAATTGTAATTGTACATTATTATACTGTTTATAGATCCTCCAATTTACAGGAAAATTTGAATCGGATGATGACGACGAAGCAATTGGTTTCAAGAGCCGATAGTGAAATAGAAAGGACTCTGAAAGCTATTGTAGCTTTTGCAAAATCTTATGGTTGGGAATTTTTAAAATTATAGAAAAAAGTTGCTGAGTATGAATTTGTTTATATACCTGCCATTCATGCCTTAATAAATAGTGAATTATAAAGATGATGATGATGATGATGATGGCGGATTGAATGCAAGCCAATCAGAAATGCATACGGAAAGGTTTGAGGGAATATCTGATGACGAACACCAAATTCGTGAGATGATTAGATCTGGTCGTCATTTTCTGTCATTGCTGGACACCTACAAGAAAGAATTTAATGTAAGATTTGAAAATTTTATCAGTAACATTAGAATTTAGGTTCTTAGTTGGTAGTTTATGCTGAAGGGCTATACGCATACAATCTGTAAATGATATTTACCATTTCCTGTAGCATATTAGAGCATTATGGATGTCTATAGATGATCATATCGCTGCGTTAGACGAACTTGAAATGGCAAAAACTCGGCTCCGTAAGCAATGCCCAGGTGAAGAAGTCCCGGATTCTGCTCAAACTTATATTATTCCTCCTGGCCTAGTAAGTCACAATCTGCAATGTACTGATATTGTGGTATCTGTAACTTGAGGTATTGGCATTGATTTGCTTTTCAATAATCATGATTTCCAAGGTTGAACAAACTAGATTTCGATTTTTATCGGATTTATCACTTGGAAAGATAGAATTAAAGAAAAAACTAGGCCAGCTATCTTATTTAGAGAATTTATCTAAGGTTATACTTGATTCCTGCAATAAAATAGATAAATGATTTGACCTGCTTTCTCACTTTTAATATTCTGTATGCCCTACCTTCTAAATTAGGCGCGCAACTTCAGCAGTCATGAAAATGAAGATTCATGTCCAATTTGTGTACGAAAGCTTGGAAAAGAGGTTAGTATTCGTTTGATCTCTTTTTAATATACTTGTTTGTTTGTTACTCTTTGTAAATAAATGTCTAATTTAACTGATATAATCTTGTAAATATTAGTGGACAGTATTGGGCTGTGGTCATTGTTATTGCTACGATTGTACCGATGTCATGATAAAAAAGTGTGCACAAAATGATATGAGACAACAAAGTGTAAAGTGCCCGTTATGCCGCATAAAAACTGCAGTTCCTGAAATATCCTATGCTAGTTTGGATGATGCAGCATCTACTTCGGAGGCTTCAGATATTAAAGTTGAAGTAAGATCCCTTATCTCTTATGATATAACTTGTTTATAGTTACCAAAACTTATAATGTAAATTTTTACTGCTGTTAGCCTGTATTTGAAGTGTTTGCATTGACTTTCAGGGGAGTCATTCTACAAAAATCGAAGCTGTGGCTAGGAAGTTATTATCTTTTCTAAGAAAAGATGACCAGACCAAGTTTCTAATCTTTTCTAGTGTAATTTATTTGATAATTTTGCTACTGTATACTGTAATATTATGACATTCATTTGTTTAAGATTGCTACCATAGAAGTGCTAGTATGACTACTAACTTTTTACTATCACATTCCTGTTACTATGCATATAGTGGACGGTGGTCCTAAATTTAATTTCTCAAGCTTTGACTGACAATAAAATTAATCACATTAACGCTAAAAGTGGGCAAAATTTTCAAGTGAGTAGGATCGTTCTTGTAATTATGCATATACTTCCTGAGCCTTAAATGTTGACCAGGGTTACTATTTTCATCAGGACTCTATTACGAAATTTAAATATGATACCAGCATACCAGTATTATTATTACCATTAAAATCGGGAGCTAATGGATTGAATTTAATTGAAGCAACTCACGTTATTTTGATTGAACCGGTTTTAAATCCTGCCCAAGAACTACAAGCAATAGGAAGAGTTCATAGAATTGGTCAAACTAAGTAAGTTGTGTATTTGGCCGATATGGTGCTACAGTAAAGCTCCTGCCTTACAGTGTAAAAAATTCATTCATTTTTGGGATATATAGATAATCAATTGTTTATCTCTACAGATCAACTGAGGTACATCGATTTATAATAAAAGGTACTGTGGAGGAAAGAATTATGGATATGAGCCAGTCAAAGAAAGTGAAGAAATCGTCTCGGTAATACATAACTGTTTAACTAATGAGACGAAACAGTATTTTATAAAAATGTAATCTGGCTAATGCATACACTTACGTTATTTTTTAAAATAGGAAAAGAGGCAAGGACGAAGTCCCGATAACAATCGATGAATATAAATCGTTATTTTTAAAGAGCGATGAGTTGCTATAATTTGTTTAAACTATTGGAAAGCTCTCTAGTTTCATATATCGAATTTTCTCTAAGCGACAAAGATAAAGTCTCATATTTGGTAGGACCCGTTTTAGTTCACAATACTTTAAAAAGTAATTTGTATTAAGGAATTGTTGGGACAGTTGGAATAACTTTTGTATATAATAAGACGGTAAAAAGTTTTAATATCGTAGTTTACCAATGCTTTATTACCTGAAAATTTCAGAATTTGGTCTGTCTACCAATTTTATTTTCGTTTGATTCTAATTACAATAAGGTACAAATTAAAAAAAATATGAAATACTTCGTTTGTTGTAATATGAAATGTTCCTTATTATATGGCAGACGGTGTCTTCTATTCTAAGCTACCAAGGACGCGAGTGGGTAATCTTTAGTATACATTGGGTTAGGACTTGAACATTTTATGATTTTTCATTCATCGTTATAATTATAAACGAAATTACCACACGGTTATCGGGAGGGGTAGCATAACATGCTACAACTATCTGCATTACAGTGGTAATACTCACTGTTTTTAATAGACTTGATTACTGAGATACGCTGAAACTTGTACCCATAAAATCAATCAATAATCGTGAATGATAATAACTGTTTGATGTTCATCTACAGTAGATTCTACACGTTACCCGCCCTATAACTGTAAACCCAAGTTACTGGGCCAATAGCGCAATTAGCATATCGTATAGTATCAAATAGTCACTACAACTTGAAAATACAGCATCATTTTTCCTCACCTAATAGTGAGAACGCTTGTCACTTTAATAAGAATCAATAGTAACGATAAAACCGTAATAAAATTATATGCTTAGGACTGTCTCGTAGATATGGAATGGTATATCGGATTTGTAGTGTACATTTGTCGTAATATTTTATACAATGACTTACTTAACAACAGTGTGAATTTTTACGCTTAAATCGCATTGCTGTAACTTACAAAGGTATGCTGAGAAGTTACATTTAATGAGCGCCAATTTAGATAAATTGTATTCTAACTTCTAAATAAATATTAATCCTCTTTAATTAGCTACTAGGAATTGAGCTGCGGATAAAGATACTGTAATGTTATCGCGCTAAATAGTCAGGGACTTGAGGATAAAAATGACTTTCCAAAATGAAAAAAATTGATTTAAAGGAATCAATTTTTATTCATTTTTGAAGACGATTTCTATCGAAAAGTCCCTGCAATAGTGTAGATTGAACAAACACCTTTATCATATTGTTACATTTACTCATATATTTTCATCACAGGAAATGCTCATCGTTTTGAAAGTGTTTCATTCACTTCCTTTTGATATCAAGCCTTGCCTGTATTTGTTTAGTAATAGATACTACTTCAATTAAGCGTATGTATGTTTGGACTATTTCCTGAATATGAATCTTTACGTTACTAGAATAGATTACAACTTATCAGAGTATGTTTAATTCAAAAGGAAACGTAGTTACATATACCAGTAGCAATATTATTCTAGTAACCAAATTGATTCCTCAGTATGTATAGTTTAGATTTCAACTTGGATAATTCCATCTCAACCCTTTTACTGTTATAACAAAAATCTTAAATAATTATAAATAATAATTAAATTATTATTATTATTACATCTTTGTCGACTCTTGGTTGATATTGTTTACCCGGTCCAATTAGTAACCTGTAAACATCCTTAAGTAAAACAGGTAGTATGGATATAAAAAGATTGTATAAATACTGCAACTTTTTCACTGGTGATGAGTAAGTAGGTCAATTACTAGTTCAATAAAGGCAATAATACATCAATGATAAAATTATTATACAGTACGAGTTAATGTACATGAGCAGTTACAGACAATATGGATCTGATTTAATCTGCATTCTTTCAAAAATTTTTATCGTCGTAATATGGCTATATACAAAGTTACAGATGTAGTATGTATATTCTATCGCGCTGAATATATCATACAGATAATATGTGGAAGGATTCAATGCTAAAGAGACGATATACCGTACGTCCTAAGGCTTCACACATCGACTTTCATAATCAGCTGTTAGAAAATTGTACGAACGTCTGCCATTTGGCTACCATCATTATCTTTTTTAAATAAGGTAGGGATGAAAATTGTGCCAGTAAAATGCAACATTATGAAACATTGACTCTTCCACTGGTGCCAGCTAACGTTACCATGATTACGACCGTGACAGCAAGAAGGAAAATTACAGCTTTGCCGCTGAAGTGTTCCATGTTGTAGAAGAAAACAATCCACATAAAAGCGATAAATAGCACAAGTAGAGGAATAAACAATTTACTTAGATCCAATTCTTGCGATTCCTCTTGTGGTTGGCTTTGTTCCTGGCTTGCTGATTGTTGTTGCCCTTGGCGAAAACCTCGAACAGCATGGATATTGGAATGATTAGTAATATGATAAGCAGCAAGTGTCCTAATACTGTCGCGTAATTCATATCCACGGTAAATTAAGCGTACAGACGCACCAGCAGCAAGATCTTGCGGGAAAGCTATCCTATATGGAAGAAAGGGTAATTGTTGATTATGATATTCTAGGATAGTGTATGTAATTTTCTAGTTAGAAGGATTTCTGAGCCTTAAAAAGTACTGTAATCAATGCAGTTGGACACATTCCAACTACTCAGTACAAGGGTCCATGCAGCTAATTTCTCATATTTTATTGAGCACAGCCTAGCTAAGTATAGTTACGTACTAGTACATGCAATTTGAAGTTATCAATTCCATCCGATAATATTTTTAAGAGACAAGGCTAGGTTGAAAGATAGCTAGCTTTTTGGAGTTATCAACTGTTTTTTTTTCTTTTGATGAATTAGACTGAAAGTAATGCAAGTACTGATGGCAAAGACTATGAATGAGAAGGTTACAGAGAAATAGCTAGGTTCATTCATAGCATCCTTGTCCAACTATTCAAATTAATACTCACTCTTTCAACTCGCCAACAGTTGCCATTGGATTAGCAGACACTACTTTCCTGCTCTGGTCTAACATGACAATGGTTAAAGTCCAAGTTTGATTGGGATCATTTTGTTGTGTCTGATTATTATTAGAACGACTTCTGAGCGATGTATCAGGCTGCGTTGAATAGCTAGCAGCAGGCGTTGTTGTACTCGTATTGGGAGTTTGATGAATTTGTGATGGATGAGTTTGTGTATCACGATTGTTGAACAAGTTGGTATGATAGGTATCACCAGTAGAAGGAGTAGATGGTTGATCATGGAGATTAGATTGCATAGGATGATCTGTAGACTGAGTATTTTGCTGCCTTTGCGAATGATTCGCAGGGATACGGATTAAATCATCCGTGGATTGATTTGGGTCCACTTCATCGCTATTCCATTGGCTATTTTGACCAGTCATTGTAGCTTGAGGAATTGGCAGTGTAATGCGATGATTATTGGATGATTTGACAGCCCACAAAATGACCGCAGCGCAGAACAAGGCGACAGTGCCTATGGATAACAGGACTTCATCATCAATGCCTTCGATGACCGCCATATTGGAGAAGTTGCTAAAGAATCTGCAGTCAGTCAATGACGTCACCGTGCAGGGTGTCGAAGCTTACCGGTGGCTCATGGATCGCTAGATGCCCTGTGGTGAGACGATAACAGTGTACTGTACAGTACTGTACAGCAGCTTTACTTCATTTTTGTACTGTAGAATACAGTATAACATGTTCAAGATGGTGCCGAGTCAACTACGGAATACATGTAGAACGGAAAGCGGATGCGCACTTGAGCTCCTCGCGGATTGCACCTGCGTATTTCTTTCATGCCGCAACAGTGGGCTAACTATGGAACATGATACTGTACTGTACATACACTCAGTGTACACTGTACAGTAGCTTTGCTTCATGCTTGTACAGTACTGTACAGTAGAATGTAAAGTCAAGATGGTGCCGACTGCCGAGTCAGCTACGGAATGGAATGGAACGCGGATGCGCACTTGAGCTCCTCGCCGACTGCACCTGCGTATTTCTTTTCATTCAGCCAAAGTGGGCAAACTATGGAGCATGATACAATACTGTACACAGTGTACAGTACAGTACATTACAGTATTCAAGGTGGCTGTACAGTACTGTATTAAGAGTATGCTCGTTGCTGCTCATTCTACGCTTGACCAAGTTGTTCATCTCCATTTTTCGTCCAGCTTTGGAAAGAGTCTATTGGCTATCATCAAGACGGTGATGCCCACTGAAATACTGTGATAGCTCTACTGTGTCCCCAAAATCGCTTAAGGAGTTGTTATGAAAGGAAAAGAACCTGAGAAAAATGTGTCCAACCTTTCCTAGCTCGAATAGGGTACACAGTACTGTACAGTATGATACACTTTATTACGCCAAGGGGCACAGTATACAGTAGGCTGTTGACGAGTTGGGCAACCATGGGTTGATACACGGACTATAATAGTACTGTACCGTACCGTGCCAATTGCTCAGGACCAGTACAGTGCCCCACTTGCTCATGCTCATAATTGATATACGGACCGTAATAGTACTGTACCGTACCGTGCCAACAGCCCAGGACCAGTACAGTGCCCCATTTGCTCATGCTCATAAGGACATTTTTAAAAGGCATACTGTAGGCTGTTGACGAGTTGGGCTACCATAGGTTGATATACGGACCGTAATAGTACTGTACCGTACCGTGCCAATAGCTCACGACCAGTACAGTGCCCCATTTGCTCATGCTCATTAGGACATTTTAAAAGGGAAAGGACTGGAGAAGAAAGAAAGCCGCGGATGCCATGACGATAATGGCGAATGGAGTCAATAGGCATTTGTTTAAGCCCAGTACAAGCAGTATGGAATGGGAAAAATAAAAAAGTCCTGCAGGCATTTTGTATTGAAACTGTCATTATCGAGTATTATACCCTTGTGTATCCATCTAATCAACGTTCATAATAGGACATTGATTTTCTCTTGATTGGATTGCCTATTCAGCCAGGACAACGATCTGACGGAGTTAGCAAATCGATTCCATTCCATTTCTATCTTGGGCCATCGTAGCGACGAGGAGACCAGTGGCAGTCGTTCAAGCCATTCTTCAAGAGTCAATTGCTACCTTCAAGGCTTTACTTGACCGACAATTTAATTTAATTTGTTATCCTATCGTATTAAGTCAACCCTTCTACTTGAAAAGTGAAAAGAAATCGATTCAGCCAGAAAATTTCAATTCATACGTTGGCGTCGTTGAATGTCCAATATTTGGATATCTCTCCTATATCCCCCCCCCCCCGTCTTTCGTCATTAGGATTGCATTTTTCCACGCTTTGCTGACATCTTTATCCACAACTCTATTTTAGACACTTTAACCATTCCATAAACTACCTCCATTGTTGGCCTTATAAGCGACATTCTACAGTTCCAGCATGTTATCGGTAAGAACGAAACTACCATTTCCACTTGCTCGTGCCATTGACTGTCGATGCATAAATAGGAATAGTTGATGGGAAAATTTTTTATTTTCCTGTTATTTTAATGACGGGGGCGATATCGTCAATGGACTGTAACTAAATTCGATACCAATGACTCTGTAGATGGGAGAAAATGAGAGATTGATTGATTGATGATATTGATAGTATAGTTATTATTATATTTCAATGATATTCAAAATGCGACTCTACTTGCCCTTGAGAATTCCATTCTCACTAGCAGCAATGACAGTAACATGATGGTAGTTGCAATATCTTTTTATCCTGATGAAGGTTTTGCCTTTTATTCGATATGAAAAGTATAAATACCAGAGAGTGATGGTACGACTGTCATGGATTGATTATAAATGTAAGAAAAAAGAATATTTCAACCTTTACTAAATCATTATAATTCGTACAACTTTGACTTTGCTCCTCAATAACAGTTTGAGTGCAATAAATAAGAACAATCCAGCTTGACCATGGTATGAATCAATAGACACCAACTACAGTATATTGCTAACTTTGATTTATAATTATCACAACTTAGACGCTGTGTTATAGTCATGACCGATTGAAAACTTCAAGTTGTCCGAAAAATTATCGTCATCATCTTTCCATAGCTTTTATACTCTTTTGAAGAGAATCGCAGCTTGACTAGTCCGATTGCAATATACTGTGTGCTGTAAATACTCTACTTTTTCATCGACGAGAAATTGAATTTCCTTTTTCTCACGTTTTCACTTTTTTTTGATTTTTATTTACTATCCGTTGAGTAGCTACCATCAGTATAGGATGTAATCTCCCATCAGTAATGTACAATAAATTAAATCGTTGCTACTATTTACTTTTACTGCGCATACTAGCTATCGATCCAAAACAACATTCCTTCTGAACTCATTAATTTCTCTTTCCTCTATTTTGGGGGCACTTTTCTCTTTTTATTCACTTCTTATCACAAATACTGTACTCTAGAAGAACTATTATGGCCTTTCAGCATTAGCAATTTTCTGTAATAATGACAGGCTTGCAAGAAATGAAATTGAAGTCAATATCCTCCTAGCGAACATATTGTACTGTACAGAGTCTATCGTTGTAGGTGATGTAGTCATTACGCAAATATCCGTTTACAATGTCGTAAATAAAATGCTGCGATATCATTCTCTGTTATATTTTCTGTAACCCTTGCAGTTGGTATATTGTCAAGTAAGAAATCAAACGGTAATGATGAAAAGATTAACACTAAGCTCCCATCAATTACGAATCATACAATCTTTTCAATAATATTGAAATTGACCACGGTATTTCGCTCACTCAAAGTAGACTCTTTCTATGCAAAAGTTGATCAAAAAATAAAATTATCTCTAATTTCACGATTCTTTACAGCTATATTGACATAACTGCGTATTACAGTACAATATACAAGCCTGCACAATATCAGGAGCTATCTTGAACATTGACTTTTTGTTGATTTTCGATTAATTTATAATTGAATTCGTGAGCAAATATTGTGTAAGTGCAGTCAACCACAAGTGATTACTTTATATTAGCAGACTGTAAATCAGATGGAAAAACCCATAGATTGCTGTCTATGATACATTCTTAATCCACAGTTTAACCAATATCTTTCTATGAATGATTCAATCATGTAAATCCTTCGTTATTTTATTCGAGTTGTAAAATGGAATTCATTTGATCAAGTGTGTCTATCTAACATTTAAAATATCAATCAACCAGGATGATCACAACAATAGCGTAAATTTTCAATACTTTAGATCATTTCTACCTACTGTAAAGCATATTATGGACTACATTTACTTCTATTTTTTTTTAGTATTTGAGCTCACTAAAGTAAGTAATAGCCAAAGTTTAGTTATTATTACAACCGCCCATAAAATAGAGAAATTTTTTCTACTCGTGTTTTCCTTTGTATATGTTCATATATATAATCACAATCTTAAGTTTGACGATTATCATTTTTATTTTTGGATATCTATATATACAGTACAGTACGTCAGGGTCAGTACACGTAGGCTACATATTTTCATCATTTATTACCCTTATCGCTACTTGTTTTTATTATACGAAATTATTGCTCAGTATATAGCGATAGCTGTACATTATTTAGCTTTCCTATCTGCGGAAATCTGTTGTTATCACATTGTTGATGAGCTTGTTATGCGTATGTAAATATCTTAGTACAGAAGCAAAAATAGAACTAGATACAACATAGCAATCACTGACTAAAAGGTCAAGTAGTTCTTGAGGCAATTATGGCAATGACTTGATTCACGATGGGGGATAAAATCGATTTTCGTGAAACGGTCTTTATAGCTCTGAACGCGATAATATTGTTACAAGACGATTGCCAAGGCATTCAATTCCAACGTTAAAATGATCTTTGTCCATCACGATGGCAATACAATAGGATTTTTCCTATCACAAAACAGGATATCTAGTCTACTTCAAGGAGGGTTAATTTAATAGATTGATATAATGATGACACGGTATCATTGGAGGCTAAAAAAATTGTTGTATCTATGTTGTATCTTATAAACGGCCATCGTTACGTTTTCTTGAACGTACTGCCTTGTTTTAATATATTGCCCTAACTTCATGATGATGTTTACGTATACTGGCTCACGATTCAATCTGTTAATAGAATCAAGAAAGGTAAGCAGCACAGTATACAGTACCACAGTAGTATGAAAAGTCCATAATAGTATAATGATAACGTAATTTCATCCTGTTTTTCATAAAAAATGTAATGTCGATATCGTCTCTCTATTGATTGATGTACCTGATGCCTAGTATGATTAAAGCATACTTCACCGCGTATGATGTACCTTTAATGTAGTAGGAACTTTTCATTCTTTTTCTTGTAATTGCGCCAGATTTTACCTACGTGGACTTTCCTGCATATTTAATGTTGGATACCTTACATTATATAGCCCATTATGCAGTATGTACAGTACTACATTTAGGAAAGCGTCGTCTTCATACAATACTACTGATGCTTATTGTTATTAAAGTGAGCAAATATAGCACATGAGTGCCTTAATCCACAATGAAATTGGATTGCAATGGTATCGAATTCGTATTGGCAAGATTTTGCTCAAATTTTGTACTCTAGGCACAAATATTACTGTAGTTACATCATCGACCAACTTTATGTCATTGCATGCACGGCATATACTGTGCTTTTGCAGATTAGCTTATACTGTGCCTGTAGGTGATAGAATGATCTCTTCTCCTCAAAATATCTCCTCTGATTAGTCGTTAATTAATTGATGTTTTACTTTAGATCCGACCTCTAAAGTAAGAGGATTTGTAAGGTCATCCTATTCTTTCGGATATTCTATAGTGTGTCTGTCCTAAGCCTATTTTTCGACAATAGTAATTAGGCATTTGGCCATCAAGAATAGCTAGAAGGTTGATTGTCCTGGTACTGTGACTGCAACTAAAATGTTAACCTCCCTATATACTGTACGTATGTAGCAATGTTTCCAGACCTCACTACAAAAGTTTTTATTTTTCAATGCCTACTTGACGTACTGTATATCAGAAGGTATAAGTGATGTAAGATACTGTGCCGTACTGTTACTACTGTCGATTGTAAATTGCTACTCAAGCAGTTAATCAGCAGTAAATTCCAGCTCTTTTTTTAATTGATCATGGCCAGTATTTTTAGATCAAAATGTTGAACGTTCTTTACCTATTGTCTGGAAATAGCGATATTCTATTGTTTGCCTTTTTCTATTACAATCTTATCTTATCATATATGATTGGTTATTCTCTAATACTGTTATACTCTCTTTACATCAATGGAAGAAAAACACTTTTTACTGTTGCTTTTGTCCATCTGATTTTCGTTTATTCGTTTTATTTATTTACTTCTTTAATTTATTGCCTACCAACGACGCAATTTTTGGTGAGAATTTGTATATCCCTTCTCAATGTCACCATGTCTATACAATGCATATGCGATCAATCCGTTACTGTACCGGTCCAAAATTGATAAATTGTTCAATTTATAGTTATTGAATACGCGGCAAAATACGATCAGGAATCAGTCATCTCATACAGACTCTTGACAAACCTTAGGGCAAGATTAAAAGTATGCTGCTGATTAATGTAACTATCGAAGATTTTACTTTAATACAGCTACCTCACTTGATCAACTCGAAATACTAACGTAAATGACTTGCTAATCGCAAACCACGTTTAGTTGTACGAGATTATTCCTGCTTTCGATGATATCAAGTAAAATGTAATGCTGTAACTTACTGACGTTTTCTGCTAAATGCTAAGATGATATTGTATGGGTATTAGTGATTTATGATGACTACGCTATGAAATTAACATTGAGTTAAAAACAAATAGTAGTATTGCCGCCATCTGATCATAGAGTACCACCAATAACAAACTGTTAAATAAATATATTTCCTTAATTAATCACTCTTATGCCGAATTACTCTTTGCAAAATGAAACTTGTGTTGACATTGAGGTTGATCAAATAGTGATACAACTACAAAAATGAAATTATTTTACTGATGCATGCTTAGCCGCTAATTTATCGATTCTCTTCCTTTGAAATAGCAAATCTTTTTTGTTGTAATAGGTTATAATTTTCAATTTCTGTATACGATAGGACAGTTGGTCCATGATAAAATTTTATATGAGAATACTGCATATTAAAGAGTTCTCATACTGTACAGTACACGTAGTAGTTTCATTTTTATCGCGATAAAATTAACCCGTGATCATATTCCATTTTCTATGTTTATCACTAAGGAAAAGTTAGTTAACGTATACTGTATACTTGCAGCTATGTATCTTTCCTTCAATTAGAAGACAATAACCGATTGTATTTTTTATCCTCGATCCTCATAGGAGGAGTTAGAAAAGTCAATGAAAATTTTTATTGGTGGATTAAGTTTTGATACCACGGATGAGACACTTCGAAATTACTTTGCTAAATATGGAGATATTGCTGACAGTGTAGTGATATGCGAGTCTGGTTCAAGGAAACCGAGAGGTTTTGGATTTGTTACCTATAAAGATGTAACTAGTGTTAAGAATTGCTTAGCTGGTATACCTCACCAGATTGATGGTAAAACTGTTGAAGTCAAGCATGCAGTACCAAGAGAAAGTAATGAATTAGCAGCACCTCATGAACGACGCTCTAAAAAGATTTTTATTGGTAGGTCAATAGTCTATTTCCATTATTAGTACTAGCCGTAATTATGAATTGTAACTGGTGCCCTGTTCTTGTTAAAATATGTCCGCATATAAATTCCTACTATTGACTTCCAGTCTCCTATCATCTACATACATATTAATTACTAATAATTCATTAATATACTAGGCATTTATAACAACATTTGTCGCATTAATTAGACATTAAAGTTTTTAAGGAGTAGATTCACGAATTTTTAAAAATTCTATAAACTTCTGCAAGAATATCATATTAACCATTTTTTAACTTATCATACGCGTAGATTATTCTTAGCGGTACAATAACAGAATATGCTATTTTCATTCTTTTTTTCTTCCAATACCCCATCAAGGTGGACTTGGAGCATCAACTACTGAAACTGAAATTCGCCAGTATTTTAATCAATTTGGTAAAATATTGAATATCGATCTGAAAAAAGATCGTGACACCAATGTTTTAAGAGGTTTTGGATTTGTAGTATTTGAAGCCGAAGACTCTGTAGATAAGGTCTTAACTGCTAGGTGAGATGATGAAAGTAATTTTTTCTCTAATTTTATCTTGAATCTGTTGGAATTGTACTGTAGCAGCAATGATTAGGCGCAGTTTTGAACATACACATATTTTAAAAAACAAAAGTGCACGGTAATATTCAAATTCAATATCGTAAGTATATTAACATTCATACTACAGTGATATCTACAGTATACTGTATCTAAATCAATTGTCATAGATACTTCTATGTGGGTACTGTAATTGCTTATTGGATTAATGATGATCATATGTTAAATTACTCTATTTAACATGTTAGATACCATGATGTCGGTGGTCGCAAAGTTGAAGTTAAGAAAGCTGAGCCACGTAGTGCATTAAGTACCAGTAACAATAACGGTATAGGGCGATTTCCAAGAATGGACACCAATGATACCTACCCATCAGATGGCTACTTCAAATGGGATGGAAGAGTACGTGAAAAGATTTCCGGCTATTTGGATCGACATGGACCTTTAATTGCTAATGCACAAAGTGATAACAACCTATCATTTGTAAACGGATATGATGATCATCGTTTCTCACCGAATCATATCGATAGTGATGAACTACTGCACAAAGGCGGAGCAATATATCGTCGTCAACCTGAAAGACCTTCTCGCGTTGATTGTGATGTTCCATACAATTCTGACTTAGTTTTCGATGCAAACTTCTCTAATTATCCCGTAAATAGTATACAGTACGACCAAGTACGAGATCTTTATGATCTAGATGCCAATAACTATAATGTCAATCCGCTACCAAGAGACTATCATCGTTCTTTACCATTGTATAGTAAACAACCCAGCGGAAGGCCTGATGGTAACCATAATAATGTTATCGCGCGTCAAGCTGGTGGCTGCCAGCGGCATTTGTCAAGACTCCATTACGACTTTGATAGAATGCCAGAACACGATGGAAAAGAAGCCATGGTAGGAAAGATTTCTTCTGAACGATTACCTTATGACTTTCAGCCAAATCTATCGCGTCGTCATAACTCTAATAGGAGGCAATCAAGGTTAGATCATCCCCAAGCAAGCGGTGCTACCTACAAAGGTATTCGTAGGGCCTACCCATACTAGAGCTAATCATTGCTTGATATCCAATTTACTTCTTACAAAAAAATTTTGACTGAGAGATTAAATTCAATTACAACCTTCAAGAAACCTTCTTAACATCTGACTTGGATAAATTTTCCTTATGAATCAGTCAGTTAATTATTTCTGATATTGACTATTAGACACTTACTAAATTGCAACGCTATTGGTAGTAGTACGGTACACCTATCGCATATTTAGATATTTAGCGTAATCAACTTAACGTAGCATTGCTTCCTATATCGAATGCAATAGACTGCATCAAATATCTGTTTTACTCGTTAGAGGTCAAAATTATTTAGCATGACAATGTATTGAAAGAAATAGATAAATTCATTACTGATATTGATGTTGACTAATAATGCAACTTCAACAAGTATACTCGTATCAAAAAATTTTTACTATAAAAAATGTTGTTAAAATTTGACATGAAATGAAAATTATTATTTATTCCTGATTACTGTGTAACTAGTTCTGTTATTATTACGACAAAGTGTCGACCATTATGATTCAAAAATTTTTATCTATCGTTTATTACCTAAATTAATTCCGCTATCATGTTTGTTTTTAATATCAGATATAATACAAGTTTATTACTAGTCGCTATCTTAAAATCTACTTTTACGCCTAACAAAGATCTATTGCAATAATGATTGTTGATTCATGCTAATTGCGTATCAGGCTTAACCTTTTGTTACTGTGGAAAGAAAAAGCTTAATTTATTTCACTTACATTACTTATCAAAATTTTACATATCCTGTAAACATAAAATCTTCCTTTGACCTTGTTAACATGTGATATAGCCTAAACGCACAACTGAAAGCATAGCTAAACGTCATATAGACCATTAAAAGTTTATATTTAAGTCACTGTGGTAAGCCTATAATTGCAGATGGATTGTCATCCCCCACAGCTTCGTTATCTTTATGATAAATATCTATGGTCTAAATTTTACGATAGTATACTGTAATGTCCTTATTCTGATCTAACAGCACAATTTGAAATTGAATTGTAGTGATTCTTAAGTATTAGCTTAAGCTAGCACTCGTATCTACACGCATATAAATGATCATGAAAGTTTTGTATCATGATAAAAAATTACCTTTATATTGTTATTTAATAAATTGCAGCCTTAAAGAATGAAACAAATCCAGATTTAATTGCGTAATATATGTGAAAAATTTGCTTTCGTTGAACTATCTAAACGGATCAATGTTTAGTATATATTATAAGATATCGTAGGAATAATTACAACTACGAATCTTTAAGGAAGGATAAATTTCTTGATCTCTGTATCATTCCATGACATGAAATTAAATATTAGCAAAAGTAAGCATTTAATACATTTAAAAGAAATGTATACAAAGCATTTGATACGTATGATTTGCAACTAAGCTAGATAGAAAGTCTAATTCAATTAACACGACGTATTTGTCATTTTACAAATAAATATACGGGACCTATCATCTCGACAAAATTATAGATAAGAAATTCTACCTGCCTCTATTCGTGTATTTTAGTCTAGATTACCTTCATAATTATGCTAATAACTGTTATTACCATTATCAATGCTGTAGCAACATTATCTATCATGCCAAGATCTTTAAGTTACCGTATGTACTGAAAAAGCTGATATTACAGGTGCTTTCAGGATGCACTTAAGCTTTTGAACCCATGTTACAAATTCCTTCCAAGATAGAGACATGAACATTACGTTACAATATAACAATATCTACTAATCTCGAGAGAGTGTGTGCTCGAATATTTACTACTTTCTACAAGTTCAAGAAACATTCGAACAGTAATATCTTAAAGCTAGAAGGTTCGTCATCAAATCAAATATAAATCCCTTTTCCATCAGATAGATTCCTAAGTAGCTCTCGTAGCCGTGTCTCGGTAAATTATAGCTATTGCTTGCTGTATGATATAAATAACGATAGAAAGGAGCTAACTAACTGTCATAAACATGCAAACTGATACATATTTGAATGGATTGCAACGAAACTGACTTATAACGTGCAATTTGATTTTAGTTTGTTAATATTGTTACTTTATTAACACTGCTGGTAATTATTTCTTCGAATTCGCTTTATTTCCTCTTTTCTTTCTTAATCATTTCAATACTTAGGGTTCATAAATGGTCGAAAATTATACCATGCCCATACTGTAGTTTAAGACTACAAAAGATTTTCACTATTGCGACCGTTATACGGTATTTGAAATTAATTCTAGATACCACACGCTTATATTTTTAAAGAAAAAAATAGCATATTCCAGTAACCATTAATGTCAATCCCATTATCATTTATGAGTTTGTATACTGTACGTCTGTACCTTAATGTTATGACCATATGATCGTAAGATCTTAATAAAACATTAAATTAATCAGATCTATATTGGAAACTCTTGTCTTAATCCCAACCATCCACCCTAGAAATGAGCAGCGCGGGGGTATTTATACTACTGTTAAATGACTTTGATTATGGGTTCATTTTAATAGGTCAGTATAAGATTCTTACAGTACTTTTAACCTAAAGATTTCTTCATGTAAAACGAATAGCTCTAAGGTAGTCATTTCTGCAGAGTACTAATTATTAAAATAGTATTCGTTATATCGCTAAGGGTGGCCACTGGGCCTTTAAATTTTGATTTCATGTAATATTCTGATGAAAATTGAATAAACATAGAATCTTTATAGAGTTCTCTACACAGCCATTTTGATTGTTACATTTTCTTATAACGGTTGTTATCGACAGAGCAAGCTTTGCTTGCATACGACAGCGATCCTTAGACACATTATAATGATTGGTATAGAATTGACCACAGTACTAAGGACATTCTACCGCACTGTAGATATCTTACAGTACCTGCTAATCTTAACTTGGTATGTCCATCACCATATATTAGTTATCATAATGTGCTCTGGACCATTAACTAATCTTAATATAGCATAGTATATTACTATTACTGGGATATATATAATATCGAATGATAATACTATCTGTTAATTTTATGAACAAATTGACCATAAACGTATATTTGACAGTTTTGCTTACCAACCTTATCATAGCATTAATACCGTATATAGTAACCATCCTTATTCAGTAAACATACTAATACGAAAGTTACTTAACGAAATTTGAATTGGTATAGAAATGAATGATCTCTAGGATTTATGTAAATATTATTGAGAAGGTAGAAGTGATTGATACACATCAGTAGGTACTATTAGTTCTATTGCTCTCTTGCAATTCGTAGTGTTATCCTACTGTAGTTCCCCTGTCCTGATTACTTTTGATTGCTATACTGTATATAGTAACCATCATTATTCGGTAAACATACTAATACGAAAGTTACTTAACGAAATTTGAATTGGTATAGAAATGAATGATCTCTAGGGTTTATGTAAATATTATTGAGAAGGTATAAGTGATTGATACACATCAGTAGGTACTATTAGTTCTATTGCTCTCTTGCAATTCGTAGTGTTACCCTACTATAGTTCCCCTGTCCCGGTTATTTTTGATTGCTATATATCATATAACAAAAAGTATTTCTAACAGGATAATGTCAGTTAGTCAGCGATCTGATAGGCGAAAGCGAAGTAAACAACGTGGAAATGTACAGTATGAATGAGTGGGTAAAAGTGTTCCACATAGCTAAAAATGGAGAGTTACTGTAAGATTAGAGAAATGCGGTATGTACAGTATATCAGTATATGTCATACACTCTACTACTACATAGTACACGGTATAAAGTTACTGAACCTCTGACAGGTCTACGACAAATGGTAATACTATCTGTTAAATGAGCACATTATCGTAAACCGTCAGCAAAGTGACGGGAGTTTGCACTAGTGTTTATAATTCATAGGCATTTGATTCATTTCTACGATACAGT